ATTCAGTTTCCATGTGTCTGCGGGATTTTTGCAGTATCTTTTATCATTAATTTCTAATTTCATAGCTCTATGATCCGATAACATGCAAGGGATGATTTCAGCTCTTTTGCAGTTGTTTAAATATGTTCTGTGAGCTAATATATGGTCAATTTTAGAAAATGATCCATGTACTGTTGAAAAGAATGTGTATTCTGATGTTGTTGGGTGGAACATTCTGTATATGTCTATCAAACCATTTGTTCACAGGTGTGATTCAGTTCTGTTATTTCTTTGCTCATTTTCTGTCTGGTTGATCTGTCCCTTGGTGTCAATGGCGTATTAAGTTCTCCTGTTACAAGTGTGTTACTGATAATTTGAGTTTTCATTTCTGTTAATAATTGTGTTATATAACTGGGTGCTCTGGAGTTTGGTGCGTATATATTTAAGATAGTTATCTCTTCCTCTTGGAGTTTTCCCCTTACAAGTATGTAGTGACCTTCTTTGTCTTTATTGTCATTGTTGGTTTAAAGTTCACGTTGTCTGCAAACAGAATGGCTACTCCTGCCTTTTTTGGATTCCTGCTGCATGAAGAATTGTTTTCCATCCTTTGACTTTCAGTCTGTGAGTATCCTTCTGGGTTAGATGGGTTTCCTGTAAACAGCATATGGTTGGATTTTGTTTCTTCATCCATTCTTCTAGTCTGTTTCTTTTGATTGGTGCATTGAGACCATTTACATTAATGGTTATTACGGTTAAATGCTGGTTAATTGTAGGAATCTTACCTCTCTGCTGTTGCATCTTAATCTTTCTGTTCTGTTTAATTATTTGCTTTGCTTAGTGGTTTTTTCCTTTGTGTATCTAAACTGTCTTTCAATATTTTTTGAAGGGTTGGTTTGGTGTTCATGAAGTTCTTCAGCTGTTCTTTGTCATGGAAGTATCGTATTTCACCATCTATTTTGAATCATAGTTTTGCAGGATATATCAATCTAGGTTGGAAATCATTTTGCCTTAGGATCTGGAATACTTCACTCGATGCTCTTCTTGACTTTATTGTTTGTGCTGAGAAGTATGCTGTGATTCTGATAGGTTTTCCTTTATCAGTGATCTGTCTTTTCTCTCTGACAGCTTTTAATAATCTATTCTTGTGTTGGATTTCTGGGATGGTGATTATTATATGTCTGGGTGTAGTTTTATTTTGGTTATGCATATTTGGAGTTCTATATGCTTCACTGATCCTGATGTCAGTTTCTGATCTCATGCTTGGGAAATTTTCAGCTATTAGTTCTCTAAATATCCTCTTGATATCCTTTATGTTTTCTCCTTCTTTTTCATTAATCCCTATCATTCTCATGTTATTCTTCTTTGCATCATATTGCAGTTGTTGAATTGTTGTTTCCTGATTCCTTGTTATTTTTAAAAGATCTTTCCTTTCCTGTTTACTAGCTGCAATCCTGTCTTCGAGGTCTGAAATTCTATCTTCACTTTCATTAAGGTGGTTTTTACAACTTTCAGTGGAGTTTTTTATTTCCTGTATATCTCTGTGCATCTGCATTATGTATTCTGTTTGTTTCTTATATTGCTCGTCTAGGGATTCTATCTTTTTGTTTAGTTCCTCCAATTTTTTATCTGTGGTTTCTTTAAGTATATTTAGAATCTCTTTCATTTCTTTTATTATTTCTTCTTTTATCTGGGAGATTATTTCGAGTTTGAATTTCTTTAAAGCTTCCTGGAGTTGCTTGTCAATTTCAGTGGCTATTGTGTCCGATATTGAGGTGGATGGGATATATTTTCTTCTATATACATTGCTCCTAGGGTTTCTTGAGATGGGCTGGAGGTTTGAGGTTGTAATTTGGTCGTTCGTTTTGTCATTTTCCTATATTTCTGTGTTTCAAGTGTTATTTGAAAGCTTCCTCAGGATCTTTTGAAAATCCCCTTCTATGTTTGTAGCTACTGAGACTCTGGCACCATGCTATCCCAAGCCATTGGGCCTGCAGAACCAATGGCCCTCCTCTGCCTGCTCAGAACTCTGCAGTTCCAGACAAGCTGGGCCTCAGGGACACTGTGCACCCACCTGCCCCTTGGAAGCTCCACAGCTCTTGAATCGCAGCCGGCTTAGGGTACTCTCCACAGGCCGCGGTGCCTCAGGAGCCTGTGATCCCTTCCTGCTTGCAGAGATATCCACAGTCCTCCAGACACACAGAGAGGCCGATACAGGCACCCCAGATCCGCCCAGCTCCTCCTCTGCACACCAATGGCTAGGCACGGCAACAAAACAGGCTGGCTGGGCTCGGGGGATAGTGTGGGCCCGCCCACCCGTCGGAAGGTCAGCAGACCTCCAAGTGCAGCCGGGAAGGGGAGGCGGATGTAGTGGCCTCTAACCCACTGCTCCACTCCACTGTACCCGGAAGCCTGGGGGGTCTGGAACAGTCTGAGATTTGGGCAGAATGTGCTGAGCACTCACCACAGGCTGAGGTGCCTCAGGAACCTGAGATCCCTCCCTGCTTGCAGAGATATTCACAGTCCTCCAGACAAAGGAAGGGGCTGATGCAGGCACTCCAGATCTGCCCAGCTCCTCCTCTTTCGATATTTTATCCACAGTCTCTCTGTGTGCTCTGAAAGCTATGGCCACATAAGTGAAGTCACATTGCAAGGACCAAGGGAACAATTTTGTGACATGCATAGACCAGGAGATTTCATTTAATTCATTAAGTGTTTACTGAAAAATAAGTTGTTTGCCTCGTAGGCCATACAGAGGAATCAGTAATATAATAATCAGATCCTTGGATGAGTTTACTCCCCTAAGTGTACAAATTATTAGGACATATTTCAACAGACATAGTCACTGCATGGCACAGAATTTTCCCTGTGTTCAGGACCTGCAGAGCCTGCTGTGCACCCTCTAATGCTTTTCTGTATGATCCTCAAAGCCTTGCCTCTCACAAGCTCTCAGCAGAATTTGTTTACTGTCTCAGGACAAGATCAACCTGATGCAGGGTAGCAGGAGCCCAATACACGTGTGACCTTCTCATGTCTCAGCTGCCACAGCTGCAACCACTCAACACTGCTGAGGGTGGGACCAGTGGAGCTGCTGGGTCCTCACAGGCTGCTCTGGAAGGGGATCTGGGCTAGGAAGGATGTGCTGGCTTTATAGATCTGTGTCAGGATTCTACAAACATTTCCTAAAGAGTCTTCAAGTAGTCGTGGTCTTTGCCAAAACTAAATCTATGTCATATCACATGGGATACACATGTCATGTTCACTGTCGTATGACCATTACCTCTTCAGATCTCTAGGTGAACTATTGGCATCATGTCCCTGGTAGGAGGATTTTATTTATTTATTTATTTATTTATTTATTTTTAATATTTTTAATTTTCTTTTTTTTTATTTAGAGAAAAAGGCACAACTGATAAAAAAAGTGTGGAAATAATACATAATTTCAAAAAATAACAGTATGAAATAACTAATTGATAAATTACACTTCATTATCTTAGAAGTAGTTTTCAAGTTACAAAATCAAAGCATAAAATATGGACAGACAATCAAACAATGACAGTACAAACTATTCTGTTTAATAAACTAACAAAAACTTAGTAGTATGGTTATCTGTCTCACACACTTAAGTATACATACAGTAATATTCTTTAGAGCAGTTTCCTTCCCTTTCATTATCACAATATTATACATTTTGCATCTTATTACTCATTCAGTTTTTTAATTATAATTTTTTATCCTAGAGAGACAAAACTAAATATAGCCCAATTTACTTCGCTTATGAAGATAGTCTCGTTGCCTCCATTTATCTATAAAAGCCTCAAGAGCATATTTTTTAATAGCTGAATATTCCTCTGCATAAAAATACGACATATTTTTCATCCATTCTGTGGTTAATGGGCATTTTGGTTGTTTCCAAAAATTATCTATTACAAATTGCGCTGCTATATAGTGGATGCACGTATATTACTCTGACATGATCTTTTCAATATTCTAGGAAAATACCCAGGAGAGGAGTTGCTGTTGAATGGAATTTCCAATCCCATGTTTCTGAGGAATCTCATTTCCAAAGTGGCCGCAGCAGTCTACGCTCCCACCAACAGTGGAAAACAGTTCCCTTTTCCCCACAGCCTCGCCAACATTGGTTATCAGTTAATTGCTTGATGGCAGCCATTCATTCTGGAGTGAGAGTAAATCTCAGCGCTGTTTTAATTTGCATTTGTCTAATGACCAGTGATGGAAAACATTTCTTCATGTATCTATTTTCCATTTGCATATCTTCAGCTGAGAAATGTGTGTTCATCTCAGAAGCCAATTTTTGGAATGGGTCTTTGAATTCGGGGGCTTGATTTTTTTTTCTGTTCGTTGTTGTTGTTGCTGTTGCTGTTGTTTTGGTTTCTTTGGGTACCGGGGATCGAACCCATGGTGTCCTGCTTGCCAGGCAGGCACTTGTGTCATTGACCTAAATCTCCAGCCCAGATGTTTTTCAATTCTTTATATGTTCTGGATATAAATCCTTTGTCTGGGGTCTACTGGCTAAGTCTTTCTCATTCTTTACTTTTCTTTTCACTTTGTTGGTGATTTCTTTTGAAGAGAAAAACCGTTTTAATAAGATGAGAACCCAGTAGGATGATTTCTTGATTTTTCCATAGAATCTTTTCTGGAAATTGATTCAAGAAGATCAGCTTCATGAATAAAGCCGAAACACTTTAGTCATGGCCTGAGGGTACCAAAGAGAATAGGTTGCTGTTAAAGACCATCCAGTAGATGGTGAACAACTCCACAATAAACTAAACACCTAGGCCTTGCCCTACAAAAGTTGGGACAGTGGAAGTGATGCTTTCAAAATAGAGAGCAACTAAGGCAGGGACCTCTCTGTGCAGCTCTCTAAGCTCACAAGGCTGGGGCCTCTGTGCACAATGGACCTTATCTTCCCCATCTGCCAGGTCCTTAGTATTTCCTGTTTCACTTTGTGTCTGGTATACACCTGAGTATGATGTGCTTCCCAGGAGACCACAGGGTCAGCAATGAAGCAGGAGGGTGAGAGAGCAAGGGCCACAGCTCTGAATGTGGCCAGGTGTGAGGGAAAGAGGAGTAATGTAGCCTCACATATTCAGATGTGGATGGGGAAGATCCCCTATAATTCCACTCAGTGCAGAGATACAGAGGAGCAGCCCTGGAGGAGTCCCGTGGAGGAGGGGCAGGTGTGCAGGGGGGAGGGGCCGTGATTGCTGATCTGTTCCTCTGCTGCTCTCCAGTGTCCTCAGCAGTTACTGCAGGTCACAGCTTTGTCCCAAGGGCCTGAGGGTGGACACTGATCTTCATGCTGCTCAGAGTCCACTGTGGGGCAGGATCTAGAGGTAATGTGGTGACCCTGGGTCCTCACCATTGATTTTCAATTTGTCAGAATTTAAAATTATATGTTACACAAGTAATTAAAAGTGTCATTCATTACCACACTAAGTTAATAATTAATGTATTGCATGTAAACAGTGAGTAAGCGATTCATATATTTATTAGTGTAACACGTGCTTTTCATCTTTCTATACAGATCTGAAGCTGAGTGACTGGAATTGTGGAGAGGGGACATTTCCTGATCCACTTCTTCTCTACCCTTCAGGAGCAGGGAGAACAGTGCTGAGAACTTCAGTTCCCTGGGCTGGGTCATCTCTGTGGTCCTGCTCTCTTGCAGTGTGGATCCACCTGAGGCTTTCAGCTGGTCAGCACCCACAGTGTTGAATGCTTTCCTTCTTCGCCTTCCCTACCAGGCTGCAGCATAGGCAGAGTCTGTGGTTCCCACAGGTCCTCAGCCCCGTGGGTCAGTGGGGCAGCTGCATTCTTCATATCCTGGAGCCAGAACTCGGCAGCTCTCAGCACTGCAAGCCTGACTCAGCTGGGTCCAGGTCCCTGTCTTATGCAGTCCCGTACACTGCAGTGCTTGAAGACCTATTAAGACCTTGTACTTACACAGTTCCTGAAGCCATCCCAGCACCTGAGTAAGGAGGACTTTTCTTATTGTTATCATAGAGTCTTGCTTGTTTCTAATATAGCAGAAAATTATTAGTTCACATCATGCTTCTCCATCCAATATAAGTTAGAAGCAGCAAAGGGTTATTCATTTTTGAAAGTGTTGATTAAACATCTAACACATTCATGGCAGTCATCACTGTTTTCTTCAGTTTATTCAGATGCAGCTCTGATCTGCTGTGTGTGGCAAACCCAGATGAGCCTCGTCAAAGCCTGGGCAGCATTAGAGATTCTGCCGCTCATGTGACCATCTTAAAAGTGAGACATAAGAGGTACAAAGAAGGAGGACAGGTACAGGGTAAGATTTTCATACACTTGAATTGGGAGGATGAGGTCAAAACCTTGCCTGCATTTCTCATAGAAACAGATGTGAGACACCTAAGGCCTAGAGACTTTGCAGCCCTCTCTAGATCAGGATCCCTTAGGTGAATATTGAAGACTCTCTGTGTTGAGGATCCAAAGCAAAAAGAAAGATCTTGGGTCATTTCTACTGTATCCCTGCTGCTGCCCATTCCCAAGTTTTGCAAAAGCCACACTTCTGTTTATGGTTTGAAGTATATTATGATTGTCGGAAATGATTCTAACTTATGCTGCAAAGAAAATTGAAAGCAATTAACTAACTGAGACTTAGAACAGCACTTGATGGAAGACAGGCAGAAACATGCGCTCCTGTGTGTGCTTGCTGGAAGCCCGGGCTGGGCAGCAGCATTGCTCATGTCCTCCCCTGCCATCTCAGTCATGCTATGACCCTGAATACAGGAACCCGGACAAGGTCACAGAGCTCACAAATTCTGCTCTCTTCTTCTCTTGCCTTCTCATTTTTTACCCTAAGTTTGAAAGAACCCAGGTATTTCTCTTCATTCTTCCTTCTCAAAACAATCATAACTTAGAATCCTGGTCCTCAAGCAATGTGTGTTGTGAATCAAAAGAACATCTCATTTTACTCGTGGGAAAACAGCCTGATTCTGTCCTGTGGCCTGAGGGAGAAACACATGCTCTGCAGGCAAATCTGTGCTGCCCTGGTGTAGACAGAGACCTCCTGGTACACTGAGTCCATAGTGAAAGGGGCCAGCACTGCAGCTGGGACAAATATCCCAGGAGCCCAGTCAGCCACTTTAGGGCTTCTTCATAGGCTGCTCCTTTCAGGCTGTGCAGGTTCAGTCCCAGTCAGTACACAGCATGGACATGAGGGTTCTCACTCACTTTCTGGGCCTATTGCTGCTCTGGGTCCCAGGAAAGCAAGGGCAGCACTGGGAATTTATTCAGCTTTGAATGTTCAGATTTGCGTGATATTTCGTGGAGGTCTTATTTTATCTTGAATATCTATGTTGATATTTCTTATGTTTCCCATTTCAGATGCCAAAGATGATATCCAGTTGACACAGCCTCCATCTGCATCTGCATCTGCATCTGCATCTGCATCTGCATCTGCATCTGGGGGAGACACAGTCAACAGCAGTTGCCAGACCAGTCAGGGCATTGTCAAGTACCTACACTGGTATCAGCAGAAACTAGGGCAGGATCCTAAACTCCTGATCTATGCTGCAACCAATTTGCAGTCTGGAGTCCCATCAAGGTTCAGTGGCAGTGGATTTGGGACAGATTTCACTCTCACCATCAGTGGTCTGCAGCCTGAGGACTTTGGAGCTTATTTCTGTCAGCAGTATAACAGTTACCTGTGCACAGTGATATAAGCCATGGCATAAACCTCCCAGGGAAGCAGAAGTGTGAGGTTGGGCTGCCCCAGATGCCCCTCTTTGTGTCTCCAGCTGCATAGTACATTCCTCACATCAGCCAGGCTTTGAAGGTCACTGGAAGGTTTTAGTAGAAGCATCCAAGGAAGCTCCTCTCTACCCTGGCTTTCTTTCCTGTTTCCCAACCTTGATGTAATGGAGGACACCAGTGAGTACACTGCAGTAATGTGGATTATGACATCTTTTTGTATTTACAGGGCAGCCAAGAAGCTCTTCTATGGGTTCCAAGCAATAAGTTTTTAAAAACTTTTATCACTCTTACAAATTTATTAATTTTATTTTTTATTATAAAGAGACTAAAACCAAACAAAGTACAACACAATAAGGTTAATCCAAACAATACAATCAAATCCATACTGCACTAAGAAACAAGATAACAGAAATCAACAGTGGCTAATATGATAATCATTGTTTTGTTTAAATTAGCTTCATATTGCATCACATGCAGTAAAGTCAAATGAAACAATATGGAATAAAATTAAACAAAACAAAACTGTAAACAGTACAGAACATGAAAATAAAATTATAGAAAATTATTAATGGCTAGAGCAATGCCTCTCACAGTCCTACATTTAGAAATCAATATTCATGAAGTGCAGAGTTGATTTTTATGTCTCTGGCCTTACATCTACAAAGTATATCTCACCATAAATTGCAATTCTGTGGCAACCCATCAAGATAAGTTTAAACTAAAAGTTCATAGTTCACATTAAATTTGACTCTTGACATAAAATATTTCAGTCAAACACAAAGGTATAAGGGCACATGTCCAAAATTTGTCAAGACACGGTGTTGTCATAATACCACTGTCTCGTACCTGTGTATCTTCTCTTTCCTGCATTTTCTCTAAGAGAACCATGCCTATAGTTTTAGAAAGATAAAATCCTGGAGTTCAAAGTATGCAAGATTTTCAAAAGCTAATGACAAAATATACTGCTATGGAAAACAGAAATAAAAATAATGAATAATATATTTTGCTACTACCAAGACTCCTTTGATAGCACCTATTATAATCACTAATATCCCGGCATAGTACTGGTGTGAGATCCTATAATGTGTATTACCTATGCTGCTTTCATAGTAGTTTCAAATGAAAATCAAGTATACTAATAAAAATGTTAGTCATAGCCACACAAGCATTTGAGAATTTTTAAAGTATTTTTCAAAATAAAGTGTATGTTTTATAGGAAGTAGATGATCTGCACTTTTTATTCTTATACTTTTGATAAGTTATTGTGCAAATTGAAAGAGCGTCTTGCCCTGGCTTTGTCTGACAATCACAGGTGATGTGGAAATTGGCAGGCAGGCCTTTGCCCTGCCCTAGTCAGCTGTACATACAGGGCAGCAGTGCCCTCTAGCGGCCAAAGCTGCTATAACGAATTAAATTAAAATCTTGACCATGTGGCGATCCTCTGTCTCTTGTTGCAACAACAGATACATGCCCCTTTTCCAATCTCAGCAGCTGATGTTGCTCAGTTTACACAGCCTAAGGGGATGAGGAGCTGGAAGGAGTCTGAAAGACCAAGGTCTACAATTTCTTCATTCTCAACAAAAAAAAAGAAAAGAGCAACTAAAGTCAGAATAGGGGAGTGACTTGCTCAAGACATTACAAACACCTTAGAATAGATCTCTGCTTTCCCTTTGCCTTGACTGCTTCCTGCAGAGCCCAGGCCCACTCCTGAAGATGCAAGTATTCCAACTATGTCTCTGCTTTCCCCTCCCATCATCATTGCTCCCAGTGTGTGCATGGGTACATGCAAATGCCTGTTTGAACAGACAGGTGGGTTCCTTCTAACCCCCACCTCCTCATGAGCATCTGGAGTTATCCTTGTTATGCTTGCTCCCAACATGCCCTGGACTCAGTCTCTCCTCTTGTTACCCATGGACATTGAGGTTGAGGTCACTCAGCAGGGCTTTCCTGGGCTGCAGAGCAGCTCTCAGAGGTAGGGCCCTCAGGAAGAGGGTTTCATTCATTCTTTGAATATCTGGACTCTGTGCTGGACCCCATGCTTCTTAGATGGCATCAGACTGAAGCAGTAGTTCACCCAATGACCTTGTTCTTAACAAATATCACAGAGTCCTCAGCTTTGGTGGATCACATTGTCTTTGCTGACTTATTGCTGGTGTGTAAATAGTATGTAGTCAGTAGAAACCATACTTTGGATTTTGACATTTTGTCTTTTCCTGGGCAGGCGCTGTTCCATGTGATACTCTGCCATGCTGAGCAGCAGCAGCTACCACTGAACCTCCTGATCAAGAGGGGAAGCGACTGCCACAGCAAGACCTGCAGTGTTTTGACATCACACTTTGTATTTCTGCTTCCTGCATACCTGTAAACCCCATTGGCGTGGGTACATGAGACAACACTTCATTACCAAACAGGTTCCTGTTAGGTGATTTTGCCCACTGATGGCTGATGTAGGTACGCTGAGAATATTTAAGACAAGCTAGGCTAAGTTATGATGTTCGGTAGGTTAGACCTACAAGATTCCATGCATTTCCCCCCCTTTGGTATGTTCAAAGCACAATGGATTTGCTGAAATGGAAGCCAGGAAGCCTCTGTATATGGATTGGATACCAATGAACCCCACTGAGAGACTTTCCTCAGGCCACAGTTTTCTCCATGGTTTCCATTCCTGTGAGTGGCCTAGTTGAGGTGAATTTCCAAGGATCACAGACCCAGCTTCTCTCCCACAGGCCTGGGTAGAGCCTTGCCCAGCTCATAACCATGTTCACCACTAAGTGAATCTTCACATATGTCAGCCACTTGGGACCAGGAAGAAAGAGATGAGGACCGATGTGAGATTCCAGGGACTTTTCCAACATATACAAGACACATGGAAAAAAATTCTAGACAGTAGAAGAAAGAAGAGCAAGTAGATAGATAGAGGGTGAACTGAGAACAGATTCACCCAAGTGAAATGGGAGCATTCTGAGAAGGAAGAGAGCAGCAGTGCCTGGCCCTTAAGAGGAGGTTAAAATGCTGGAGCTGGTGACCATCTATTTAGGTTGATTTGTCAGTAATTTATCATTCCCATAATGTGGTGAAGGCCAAAGTCTGGTTGTTGTACGTTGAAGAGTAAATGATGCAAGAAAGTGGTGGATGTGGGTGTAGGCAACTCTTGGAAAGCAAGATGTGAAGGGAGAGAAAGGGAGAAGTGAGGTGGACAGGAGGAGCTGGAAGCCAGGGGAAGGAGGGCTGACATGTTGTGGGGGAAATCAAGAGGTGGGCATGGAAGTCAGGGCAGGGAAGGGGTGAGGAGTAGTGCAGGGGTAAGGAGAGACAGTCTTCTGTGAGAGGGGAATGGTAGCATTGAGCAGCAGGGTCTCATCTTCATCTCCTGGATTCTCTGCTCTCCATCTTGGCAGCTCATGGGATCCTCTGAGCTGTTGCTTCTCTCCAATGGATCCCACCTAAGCTGGGCCAGATGGGGTGAACTCCAGGGAGATAGGGAAAAAGGACTGAAGATCTGTTCCTTTAAATTATGTTTTCATTGTATATTTTAATGAGAAACAGTGATGTTTCAACCCATGCGCCAATTTCTAAGTGGCATTGTCCATAGGTTCTGTTCCACTCTGAATTCAGTAAGAAATTCACCCTTGCTTCACACAGGGCTGAATTTTTAGGATCCTGAGTATGAGGGTCATGGGGACCTGCGGTGGACTCTCAGGAAGTCTTTATCATCAGCAGTGCCACTGTCAGCCACACAGGGAAGACCTGTGACAGGAATCCTCATGGCCTTTGAAACAATGGCTGTTGGGTGGTTTGGAGGAGACTGAATGGACCAAATTGGATGAAGACTCACAAGACTGTCAGCCCTTCTCCCAGTGTCTCTGATTTGCATGTCTATTTTTCACACAACCCTTAACCCATCCATATAGGGATTTGGAGCCTTGTGTGGTACCCAGGCTCTGAACATACCCAGTCATCATGGTCCTGGTGACCCCAGTGTTGCTTCTTTGGAGCCTGGCTTTCTAGGGAGCAGGTGAGGAGGGGGGGCTCAGGGAGACGCCAGTTCATCAAACCCTGTTGAAGACAGCTCCTACTTGGTGCATAACAATGTCATGCACTGTAAATGACAATTTCCCTTTTTACCCTTTAGCAGGCAGTGGGGTGTCACCCTGATGCAGACACCAGTCTCCTTGTCTGCATCTCCAGGAGAGACCCCTCCATCTCCTGTCAGAATAGTGCTGCTGTAAACAGAGAGATGTCTTGGATGTGCATTAAACTTACCAAAGACTTGAGGACCTAATATCTCATGTCACCACTGTGTCCCTGGGTGTCTCAGCCAGGTTCAGCAGCAGAGGAAGTGAAATGAGCTATGTCCTAAGCCTCAGCCCTGTGGAGCCCGGGGATGCTGTGGAGTATTTTTCCATGCATGACTATGAGTGGCCAGTCCACAGTGGTGCAAGCTATGCACAGAGATTACTGTAATAAGAAAAGTGAAGAGAAAAAGGTAAAGAAGCTAAAAGAAATGCTCAAGGAGACGGGGATGCTCTTAAGGAAAAGAGCGGCTACACATGCAGCAAGCAGAGAGACTGTGGCATGAACAAGAGGATGGTGGCCCCAAGTCAGCTGCTACTGTCTTCTTATGTCTTCTTCAATACTGGGTTCTGGGCCCCCTGGATCGAGTGCTGGAATTTTGACCTCGGATCTGGCAGGTTCTTGTATCAAAAGATAGGTACCTTGTGCAGGGCCCAGCTTGATCCTGTTGGGCTCTGCTCCTATGGTCAGTGAGTCTTCCTAGCTGGCAGGTGAGGCCCTGCTGCTCCAGCCATGACCTGGCCTCCTATGACAACACCACCCACCCTGGGATCTACACTCCTTCCATACTGCTAGGCATTCTAAATAATAACTTTACTTTTAACTGACCTGTAGGATGTTTTACAGAATGTGTCCATAGATTTACCTTGAATTCTGACCCAGGGGCAACCAGAGC